CAGAGTTTCTAGAAGGGAATGCAGTCCTGCAGACACCTGCACTTTAGCCCAGCAAGATCCATGTCAGGCTTCTGACCTACTGAACTGTAAGATAACATATTTGAGTTGTTTTGAGCCACTAAGTCAGGTTAATTTATTACAGCATCAACAGAAAACTAATAGACTATACATCCTCAACAATAGTTGGTATTGTCTGACTTTTAAATTTTTTGCTATTCTGGTGGGTGTGTTATCTCATTATGGCTTTAATTTATATTTTCCTGATGAGAATTGAGTGGAGCACCGTTTCATATTTATTAGCCACGTGGATATTCTCTTCTATGAAATGCCTACTAGTGTGTGTTGCCCATCTGCCCATGGGGTTGTCTGCCCTTTTCTTATTGATTTATAATTCATTGTATATCCTGGTTTTGAACTCCTGACCTTGAGTGATCCTCCTGCCTCAGCCTCCCAGAGTGCTAGGATTATAGGCGTGAGCCACTGTGCCTGGTCTCATTGTATATTCTGAATATAAGCCTTTTCCATTTATGTGTGTTGCAGATGTCTTCCACTTTATAGCTTGTGTTTTAACTCTCTTAATAATGTCTTTGCATAACAGAACTTCTTAATTTTAATATCATACAATTTATCTTTTCCTGCACAGTCAGTGCTATGTGTCTGTTTGAGAAATCACTTCTAGCCGGCGTAGTGGCTCACGCCTATAATCTAGCACTCTGGGAGGCCAAGGCGGCAGGATCCCTTGAGCTCAGGATTTCTAGACCAGCCTGAGCAAGAGTGAGACCCTGTCTCTACTAAAATTAGCCAAGTGTCCTGTGGCATGCCTGTAGTCCCAGCTACTCGGGAGGCTGAGGCAGGAGGATCGCTCCAGCCCAGGAGTGTGAGGTTGCAGTGAGCTACAATGACACCCCTGGTAGGAGGGGGATATTAAGCCACATGATCAGGATTTTCACAGAATTGTTATGACCATAATATTACACAAGAAGATAATTTTTGCGTCATTGACTAGAATAAATTGAATTAGGTTAGTTAAAAAGTTGCTAGTCTGGTTTTGAAATGGTTAATGCCTTGGTCAGGATTTCGGGTGAGAAACAGAGTGAAAGGGTAACTCTTAAAACATTTTATTGACAATCAGCAGGGAATAGTGATGGCCTTGATGGAATTAGAGATGACACGAAGAACATACGTGTTGAAGGACTAGCAGCTCTCCTGATGCTAGGGAAGTTGGCTGACGGACCATTTTAGTGGAAAAGCTGTGAACGTGATGATATACAAGCTCTATCACCATTATTTACAATCAGGATTCCAATGTTTGAATTCTACTTCCCCTATTTGCTTCTGACTTTTGTTAAAATACTTAACCTTTCTGAGCTTTGGTTCCTTTAATTTTTAAAATGGTAATATCAACACCTATTTCACAGGGCTATTTTAAGAATTAAGTCAGAAAGTACATAAAACCACTTAGCAAAATTCTTGGCACACGTATCTCAAAAAATATTTCAAATATACCATATTACCATTGGGGGAATTGGGTGAAGAGGACCCAGAACTTCCTTGTACATTTTTTGCAATTTCTGTAAATCTATAATTATTTTAAAGTAAAAAGTTTAAAAATGTATTAGCTATCTTGCATATGAGTTATATCATTGTGCTAATATTTTTCTTACCAAATGAAGAAATCAAGGACCAGGGACACAAGTAATTTTGTTACAAAGAATTACACAGAAGTGAAATTAGAATGGAAGCAATTTCTTCTGAATCATAGAACCACAGAACAGGATTAGTGGGAAGGGACATTAGAATCAAGATATAGTTTAACTACTGAACTGATCCATGGTTTACTATGATTTTTTCCTGGTGCAGTGTGACTCATCCATATTGATTCAGAATAATAATCATTTAAACATGTAAAATAGTAAACATTATAAATAATAAACATTTCCTCAGCAGTATGCCAGACATTGTGGTAAGCTCTTCCACATTGCTTTGAATGTGATTGCAATTTGTGCTTTCTGAATTCTACAAGAAAGACATAAAGAAAATCTGCCACTGATGTTTTAATCCATTTACACTTAGTTTTTTGTTTTTTTCTTTGAGACAGAGTCTCACTCTGTTGCCCTGGCGAGAGTGCCGTGGCATCAGCCTAGCTCACAGCAACTTCAAACTCTTGGGCTCAAGCGATCCTCCTGTGTCAGCCTCCTGAGTAGCTGGGACTACAGGCATGTGCCACCACGCCCAGCTAACTTTTTCTATATATTTTTAGTTCGTCGATTAATTTCTTTCTATTTTTAGTAGAGACAGGGTCTCGTTCTTGCTCAGGCTGGTTTTGAACTCCTGACCTTGAGTAATCTGCCCGCCTTGGCCTCCCAGAGTGCTAAGATTACAGGCATGAGCCACCGCCCCCAGCCACGTCTTAGTTTTATAAATGAAATTAAAACACGTGGAACAAATTGTATAGGATGTTATACCTCAGCGGGAATAACCTTACAGTTCCTCAGTGGAGAATCTTTTTGGCTCTACTAACCTGGAGCACTGGGAAAAGCATTGGAGTATTTAACATGAGAAACAGAGGGTTTATTTTCCCTTGTACATTGTTTACAGTAGGGATTCTAGCAGGATGAACTGTTTTGTTCAGAACAAACTTACACCAAGAAACTTGGAGCTGTGGCTGATGAGAGTGGGACAGAGGGGGTGTTCTGCTGCATTCTAGGGACCTTCAACTTCTGTAAATAGAGAAAGAAAAACCCACACAAGAGAGAACTTGGCGGGGTTCAGTTCTGTAGATATTTTTTCCCTTCTATTCTTTCTTTTTTTTCCTTAAGGAATGGTGTAACAAAATGTATCTTTAGCTGATATGAATAAAAAGAGATCAAGGGTCTTTGAAAAACAAAACCAAACTATAAAAGCTCTAGAAAAGGCTAAGATTTCACATGTTAGAATGTCACCTTGACAGGCAGCTTTAAAAGGGCTAGAAGAAGCATAGAGAGGAGGACAAGAAAAATTTCACACAAATATTTAACTATATACAATTTGCATAAAGTATAGGAGGCTTTAGGTAAGAAATTGACAATTAAAAAACATTGTCCTTCTTATTGAAAATGTCAGTCTATGAGGGACATCTCATTAATCTGGCTCCAAAAAACCAGAGATTAATGAAAATTAATGCTAAAAATTCATTTAAAAAGCACTTTTATCATATAAGTACTTCTCCATTTTCAAAGTGATTCTTTTTTCATCATTTAAAACAATGACTGATAAGTCTATATACTTTCAGCTTCAGGAATGATTCTAAATAAAAAAGTAAATGGTTCAATCACCAATACAAAAATTAATAAATGGGATGGTGTCAAGCAATGTCAGGTGGGTCTTTTGGTTATTTATTAGCAATATTTTCCTCATGATATTTTTATGTTTGTTTGTATTTGAAGAGTGAGATGCATTAATTTCCAAGGCTCCTTGGCCGCTAATAAATGTTTTCATTATCATTTCCAAGAGGACTTATTCTTAAATATTCTGGCCTTAGTAGTCACACAGTTAGATGTTGCTTTTAAAAAATTGACTTTCGACACTCCCATTTTACAGATTTCAGTGGCAGAGCAAGGTAAGAATTCAGACCTTGCATTAAGTTCTGACCACTAGATAACACACAGCTTCTGCTATCCACAGGCTACACTGTAAGTGAAATGGGGTTAAAGGTATGTAGAACACTACTTGCTATTTTTTGTTTAAATATAACTTTTTTTTTTTTTTTTTGAGACAGAGTCTCGCTTTCTTGCCTAGGCTAGAGTGAGTGCCGTGGCGTCAGCCTAGCTCACAGCAACCTCAAACTCCTGGGCTCAAGCAATCCTACTGCCTCAGCCTCCCGAGTAGCTGGGACTACAGGCACGAGCCACCATGCCCGGCTAATTTTTTCTATATATATATTAGTTGGCCAATTGATTTCTTTCTATTTTTATAGTAGAGACGGGGTCTCGCTCAAGCTGGTTTTGAACTCCTGACCTTGAGCAATCCGCCCGCCTCGGCCTCCCAGAGTGCTAGGATTACAAGCGTGAGCCACCGCGCCTGGCCTAAATATAACTTTTAAAAGGAGGGAACAGAGTACAGTTTATAAGTACTGGTTTAAAAACCATGTATCTTATCTCTCAGAAAGGAGTAGACAGTGAGAGAAAATCAAATGTAAAAAACATGTACTTGTACTGAACCGTGAATAAACATTACCCTTACTGAAACATCTAAAGACCCTGCTGCTTAAAGGGATCTGTTGTAATGTGTAATTCGGCTAAGGTGATAACCAAATGCATAGCTCTTGAACAATATGGAAAAATAACACAGATCTTTTTCCTTTGCTGTCCTTCCCAGAGATAAAACTTAATTGAGGTCTAGCTACCAAAGGCAGAATTAGTCATTCCATATCCTAGGCTAGGATTTGGTACATAATCTCTATTTCATCATGATCACTGAGAATACTAAATCTAACTGTACTGGGTAGACCATCAAGATAGTTTCTCCGTGTTAACATGCCCAGTGGCTGAAGCATAGTGGGTGCTCTGTAGATTTTGTGTTATTGCAGTGAGATCACCAGTTAATGTAAAGAGCTGATTCGGCTCTTTCCTCCTCTTTTTACCCAGAATTGCTGAAGTGGCAGGTGTTGGCTAGGTAAGTAGCATAGCAGGGCAAAACTCTCATGGTTTGAGTCAGTTGGGACTGGTTTCTGTTGATAGTTTGTGAATTTCTAACTCCTTGTCATTTTGAGAGTTAGTGTCTGCTGAATTCACATAAGGGCATTATGCAAGGGAAGGAAAGAACTATGACATGAAAGTTTGGCCTTTAGTTTCAATTATTTTGTATTTGAGAAAACAAGATACACACTTGGGAGTTAGAAAGTCTATTCTGATTTTTATTACTCTCAGAAATTCAATACATACAATGTAATCTATGTTTCATCTTGCAAGTAACATCTGAGAGGGAATTTTTTGGAATAACTATGTGGAACCCATTTTATTACACAGATTTATGAGTTTCAGAGGATCCGATTCCTTAGTCTCTGATTCCTGAATGGCATTAAATACACTGTCCTTGGTTAAGACTACGATGTAGAAAGAAACAAGCTGATTATTCAGAATTCTGTCTCCTTTCTATGACACCAGACTCCTAATGTGGCATCAGTTACACAAGTTGGTATTTTGTTCTCCACTTTTAGGAGACCACCACTTTGGAGGCCTTGGGTGGAGCTGGACGTAGACTAGAGACATGGAGATAGGACAATGATACGGAGTCTGAAAACCTGAGTTTGGCCCCACTTTGTACTTGGGAGCTTGAGCTAATCGCTTAACTCAAACAGAACAATAAAATCCGTGATACAGACTTGAGCGCCTCAAGTGCTGCCAAAAGTACTTAAAAGACAGAAAAGAACTAATCATAGGCACCCTCACCCAGCACCTCCTAGATACCGAGTACCGTTCTGTTCTAGGTTCCTTACATTCTTCATTTCATCCCAATAACCACCCCCAAAGAGGCAGTTATCATTCTACAAATGGGTCGCGCAGCTACTAAATGGCCCAATCCAGATCTGACCCCAGGCCTGCCAACGCTCTTGCTGGTGAGTTTCCCGCGTTGTCAGCTCAGGCTTAGCAGGACGTGGGGGTAAAAACCTTGTGCCTAAGTCTTAAACGTTCTGTATGAGCAAACTGGCTGGGCAACATGACTTTGTCACTCAACTACCCTCCAGCTGGGCCCTGGGCTTTGTCAGCAGCCACCTGGCAAGGGCCCCAAGGCGGGTGGGGAGGCGGCGCCTCCTCTGACCGGAGGTGGGACCCTAGGCCCAACCGACCTCGGGAGCCGCCCCCAGCCTCGGATCTCCGACGACGTACGTGCGGGCCTGGGGAGGGGGCGCGGGCGGCGAGCGACGCGCCCTCCGAGAAGGCTGTGGCGACGAGGCGGTGGGCGAGGCCGGTGACCCAATAAAGCGGCCGGGCCGCGGGAGGCCCCGCCTGGCCGGGTTCCGGCACACGCCGCGGGGTCCCGGCCGGCGGTTGCTTGCGCGCCCCCGCCCGTAGCGCTCGGCGAGAGGGCGCCTCCGGCCGAGGGTGTGAGCGTGCGCCGCCGGGCCGGGCCGGGCCAGGCCGCGAGCCGGGGAGGCGGGAGGCCGGAGCAGCGGCCCCCCGGAGCCGCGCGGAGAGCGCGGGCGGGGCGGGCGGGCGCGCCACAGCCCGGCGTCCGGGAGCCGCGCCGCCCGCGAGGCCCGGCCTCCCCCGCCCGCGCGCGCGCCCCGCCGGCCCGGCCCTCCTCCTCACCGCCCCTCCCGCGCGCGTCCACCGGCTCCCCGGCTCGCGCCGCTCCATGTAGCCCCGGATCCCCGGGAGGCCGTAGAGGAGGGGGCGACCACAAGATGGCGGGTATGTGGCCCCCTGTTCTGCTGGCGGCGACGGCGGCTCCCCGCGCCCACCCGCCCTCTGCCGTCGCCCCGAGGGGCGGCCTGGCCGAGGCCGGCGCGGGGTCCCGACGCGGGGAGGCGCCGCCGGGCCGAGAGGGCGGGCGGCGGGGGCGTCGCACCGGGCCCTGGGGCACTGAGCGGGCCTTTTTTTCTCCCCTCACGCAGACCTGTCGCTACTCCAGGAGGACCTGCAGGAGGACGCGGACGGATGTGAGTGGCCCGGCCTCGCCGTGGCCGGGGGAGCGGCCGGGAACGGCGGGCGGCGGCCTGGGCCCGGCCGGCGGAGGGGACGGGTGGGTGAGGGCTGCCCGTGGGCCCAGGTGTGATTTTGGGGGGAATCGCGCTTCCGTGAGGAAACGGCGTGCCCGGTGCCGGTGCCGGTGCGGCGGGGGGAGAGAGAGACGCCTCGCGTAACGCCCAAGCTCGGGTTCCGCCCCACGCTGTCCCCTCCTGGCGTCCCCAAATCGCCTGCGGGCTCAGGAGTTTTGGGGACGTCTGTTCTGGAAGGAGAAAATGGTGAGGCAGAAATTTGAAATGTGAATTTAGGGTGTGTTTTTCCCTGTGAGCGTCTTCCGCAGCCCCCCCCATCACTCCTGAGGAAGGAAGAGGCTCTGAGGAAGGGAGGTGTGTTTCCTCAGAGTTGCTCTGAGTGCGGCTGCGGCCGCCGGCGGGGAGTCGTCCCTGGCCAGCCCCTTGCTTCGCTGACCCCGGTTTTGATTGTGCGGAAATTACATACCTGTAATTTTACTTTGCTTCTTAGCAGTTTAGATTGCCTCGATGTGATTCGTGGATTATGGGAAGGTTAGAAGGTGTGGCTTTGGCAGGAATTAGTAGGTTTAGAGAACATTTTTCTTTAATGCAAATACTCAGAAAACACCCAGCCTTCCTTAAATATTAAAATATTGAAGCTTTCTTTAAAGAGTCAATTCTTTTATTTTAAAAAAGACAAACTTTTTGACGTTGTTTCCAGATGGAAGGAATTGATATTTAGAAAGGAATTTCTCATCTTACATATGCTTTTCTAAGCATCAGAAAATAATTTGGGTTGATGACAGGAAAGACAGTTAAGCAAATTTGTATTGAAAGAAGTCTCAAATTAACTTGAAATAATTTCTGTGCAATAATAATTGCACTTAACTTGAAATAATTTCTCTTCATGCTAATGTTCCAAAATAGTAACCAATCCAAAAATTCCTAGGGTTTGAAATGCATTTTAGGAATGAAGAGTGTGCAAAATGTATTAAATGTAGATTACGGGATACACAAGAGGACCAAGAAATTGTGAGTTGGGAGGATAAACATGGTAGAATTGCGATCTGTGCAGGGGAGGGCCTGCCAGAAGTGGAGATTGACTGTGTCTAATACTTGTGTAAGTCTGTCAGAGATGGCTGCAGTTGGAAGTTTCTTTTAAATACTGTGTAGTTAAATCCTTAGCATTGCCTAATGTGGTTCCCTTACCCAAATTAAACTTCATTTTTAGATTTCTGGTTGTTTTGAGTAACGTAAGAAGGATTTACTATTTAGAAGGATTCTCTAAAAAGAGTAATTATTTTTAAAGTAAATTAATCATATACAAACTTATCGCTGAGTAATTGGGGGGGGAGGGTTATAAATATCTCTCTTAAAGGTAAAGGGAGCAGTACTAATCCAGGAAAGGACGGCTTTTATGGTTCATGCAATGCTTTTACCGTGGGCCACTTATTTGCCTAATAGAAAGTTTAAAATATGACTTAAGGCAACTACTGACTTGAGATCTTTCAAGGTTAGGATTGGAGAGGTAGCCCTGATTATGTTATCTTGAGACAGAGGCTTCTTATTCTTACATTTCTGTTCAAGACATTGTGAATAGAATATTTATTCGGCAAATATTTATGACTGTCCAGAGCAAGAATTGAGTATTCATCTGTTTTCAGTTAGGTGTCATGAACTCCTGAAGAATGAGATGCAGTGTCAGTTTCTCCCCTGACCCTCAAGGAGTACAGTCTGGAGGGGAAGGCATACCAGTGAAAATTCAACAATGAGTCTTAAGACTCTGCTCAGTACCAGATGTAGCTGTGGAAAAGATGGTTGACGGTCACAATCCATGCCCTCTAGTGGTTTATGAGCCATTTTAATATAAATTTATTTAGTATAAGAGACAGTGTAGTCTCTTATACTATGTGTAGTCTCTTATACTCACAGTGTAGTCTCTTATACTCACAGTTAACAACACAGACTATTAAGAATGATATAGGAGTTTTAAAAAAATAAACAGACTAGAGCCTGACCTCTGTGTTCCAGTCTTGTAGTGTCACTTTGGGCAGACTTGGGCAACTCACGTAACCTATGTGTGTTTTAGTTTTGCCATTTTATAAATAAATAGTATTACCTATTTTGTAGAGTTGTTGAGAGCTGTAGATGAATCAATGCTTATTAAGCACTTAGAATACTTAGAACAATGCCTGGGTAAGTAGCGGTTATTATGTTTGCTGTTATGAGTAGAGTGCACGGGAAGCTTTAAAGAGCAGAGAAGGAAGTACTGATGTTGAACATAACAAAATTGATATGCTTAGCTTACAATTACCTTTTTTAAAGATTCTGTTCCCTGTGCATTTTAATTTAGGATAAAATGTTAGACATTTGAAGGCACAAATAGTTTATTTGCATACTTATAATCTGGTTGAAGACTTTGTTAGAGTAATTGCTTATTTTTCTCAGTTGCTACAGTTGTTATAGATAATACCTTTACGTAACCATAATATTCAGGAACTCGGGTTCATCGAACATATGGCCAGTTGAAGGACCACTTGCCATCTTTTGTGAAGGAAGAATGAGGAGGAAATCTGGCCTTGGTGCCCACGTAGAGAGCAAGATGGTTGGTAAGGGAATGAAAAAGTTTGTTACATCCCAGAGAGGATGGAGAAGGTAGAGGACCAGAGTTTACAGGGAGAATGGAGGTTGGGCTGCCCTCACTAGACTCTTACCTTATGAGCATGAGTTTCTCCGTCTCTAGCAACACTCATGTGGAGGCTAACCTCTGGAGTAGTTGTAAATGAGTCCTGTCACTTCAGCCAAGCTATATCTAAGTTGGCCTTTGGCATGAGAAGAAATTATTTTCTGGTCAAGGTCTGGAATCTTGATTGCCTTTCCTAAATGCAGAACCTGGAGTATGACAGGAGAAGGTATGCTCTGTTGTGTGGGTAGCTATGGAGACAAGGACAGGATCTGTGTAGGGCCTGGATCTTGAAAGGGGGACATTGCCAGACCTTCATAAGAGTCTCAGTTCTTTTGATTTGATTTGTTTTAAGCCCCAGAGTCTCCGTATAGAGGCCATAGAGTGTTGGAAAGGATTAGTCAAAAACCGACTTGACTGATAACTTTGGAGAAAAAAAATTCTAATAGGGGAAAATGCGTGTATTGTATGTATATAGCAAAAGGTCATAAAGGTAAGTAAATAAAATTCTTATTAGGTACTATTAATGTAAGTTTAGGAGAATAATGCAGTAAGAACTATAATTTTTACGCCTATAATCCCAGCACTCTGGGAGGCCGAGGCAGGCAAATTGCTTGAGGTCAGGAGTTCAAGACCAGCCTGAGCAAGAGCGAGACCTGGTCTCTACTATAAATAGAAAGAAATTAATTGGCCAACTAAAATTATATAGAAAAAATTAGCCGGGCATGGTGGCGCATGCCTGTAGTCCCAGCTACTAGGGAGGCTGAGACAGGAGGATAGCTTGAGCCCAGGAATCTGAGGTTGCTGTGAGTTAGGCTGACACCATAGCACTCACTCTAGCCTGGGCAACAGAGAGAGACTCTGTCTCAAAAAAAAAAAAAAAGAACTATAATTTTTTTAAAGCCTAGCTCACAGCAACCTCAGACTCCTGGGCTCAAGCCATCCTCCTGTCTCAGCCTCCCGAGTAGCTGGGACTACAGGCATGTGCCACCATGCCCGGCTAATTTTTTCTATATATTTTTATTTATTTTATTTATTTATTTATTTATTTTTGTTTAGGCAACATGCAAGAACAGACATCTATATATTTTTAGTTGGCCAATTAATTTCTTTCTATTTATAGTAGAAGTGATACTTTTGGCTGGGCATGGTGGCTCACGCTTGTAATCCTAGCACTCTGGGAGGCCGAGGCGGGCACATCGTTTGAGCTCAGGAGTTCGAGACCAGCCTGAGCAAGAGTGAGACCCCATTTCTCCTAACGAAATCAGCTGGATAATTAAAAGTATATATATAAAACCATTAGCCGGGCATGGTGGCACATGCCTGTAGTCCCAGCTACTCAGGAGACTGAGGCAGGAGGATCGCTTGAGCCTAGGAATTTGAGGTTGCTTTGAGCTAGGCTGATGCCACGGCACTCCTAGCCCGGGCAACAGAGTGACACTGTCTCAGAAAAAAAAAAGAATAAAAGCGATACTTTCACTACTGTATCATGAAATATACTTTGAATTTCAAAGTGAAAGCAAACCAGTGACTCTATTTGAATATAGGTTGTCTCAGCAGATTTCAGACTTGGGTAACTCCTTTTAATTTTTATGACTAATTCTGTTCCTTGAATAATGGGAGGCAATGTAAAATTATGAACTTTAGAGAAAGTTATTCCAAATTTCTATTGTTAGTTTTCCAAACATGCAATTTTGATTTACATTTGTTGTAGATTTCTAAAATAGGTGAGATAGAACTTAAAGTAAGATTTGATGAGCTAATGTTTGCAAAAATAATTTCATTGAAAGAGTTTGATTAAAATTTAAACTTTTAACAAAGTAATATGTTGAAGAATGTTATTTTAAAAGAATGGTTACATAACACTTAATAGTTTATGGTAGTTTTTTTTTTTTTTTTTTTGAGACAGAGTGTTGCTCAGGCTAGAGTGAGTGCCGTGGCGTCAGCCTAGCTCACAACAACTTCAAACTCCTGGGCTCAAGCAATCCAATCCTATCTCAACCTCCCCAGCAGCTGTGACTACAGGCATGCGCCACCATGCCCGGCTAATTTTTTTCTTTATATATTAGTTGTCCAATTAATTTCTTTCTATTTATAGTAGAGACGGTGTCTCACTCTTGCTCAGGCTGGTTTCGAACTTCTGACCTCAAGCAATCTGCCCGCCTTGGCCTCCCAGAGTGCTAGGATTACAGGCATGAGCCACTGCTCCCGGCTATATGGTAGTTTTCATACACAGATTATTCGTTACAGCAGTTCTGGAATGTGTAGGCTGTGGTATTCTAATATTAATAAATAAGTCAACTGATGCCTAAAAGGGCTAAATTATTTTCTCAAGAAACAAAACTCCTAAATTCAGACAAATTTAAACTAGGTCTTCTGATTCTAAATACTGTGTTTTAAACATTGTCTTTTCTTAATTACCCGATTTAAAACATTGATCAGCCCAAACTCTTATAGGCAGTTCGTTTTAACTCATGGGTAAAATATAGTTTTTTTTTAGCTGTAATTGAGCATGATGCTGGAGAGCTTTTGAAAAGCTATGTTGTGGAATATACTATACCATGGATTTTTTCATATTTGTTGAAGTTCTGGAATCCTTTTACATTACACCATTTTTGGGGTTTGAGGACATTGTTGAAGTAGATGGAAGAAATGATGCATCCAGAGTCCTTATGCCCTCCAACTGCTTCTGAAAACCAGTTCTAATAAGCTTAGAATCCTTGCCACTGGGGGAGGTGAGAAGTAAAAAATTTGGGCTGTGTCCAGTAGCAGCCAAGGAATCATTCAAAAACATTAGGAAGGTGCCCTTGAACATGATGATATTTAGGACTGTTGTTAAATAGGGATTTGGAAGAGCAAATCATGAGACTTTGTACACTGTTTTGATTGTTGCCAACAAGACTGGACAAGAGATATGTTTATATAGAGATAATATAATTGATAGCTTCAGAAAGAGCGCTCTAAAAATAGTTTTAGTGGTACCCACATGGTGTAGAATCAGTTAATGATACCTTGGCTAACAATTCTCTATGTAGAAATAAAAAAAGAAAGGAAAGGGGGAAAAACTTTTGTAACTATGCACAGACTTGTAGCTACATGACAAAGAAAAAAAAAAACAAAACCCAGAATATTTAAATGCATAGTTTTTGTTTGTTCCTGCCTGTTTTTAAAAGGTAGGTAAATTCAGAAGTCTGCCACATTTGTTTGTCCCCTGGTTTATTATTTTTTGTCCTTTTGCCTCAGTCCTTCCTCTCATCAAAACAAAGAATTTGGCTGTGTGTGGTGGCTCATACCTGTAATCCCAACACTTTGGGAGGCCGAGGCAGGAGGATCCCTTGAGCCCAAGAGACCAGCCTGAGCAACATAGCAGGACCCCTGTCTTCTACAAAAAATGTTAAAATTAGCTGGGTATGGTGGCGCTCGCCTGTAAGTCCCAGCTGCTCAGGAGGCTGAGGCAGGAGGATCGCTTGAACTCAGGGTTGTAGTGGGCCATGATGATGCCAGTGCACTCTAGCCCAGTAAACAGAATGAGATGCTATCTCAAAAAGAAAAAATTATATTTGTTTATTAAACTATTGTTACCTTGCTCCTGCCTTTATGTTATATCTCTTATATTTTGGAGTAAAGAATTTCTTCTGACTTTCTCTTTTTTCTTTTTTTTTGAAGGGGCAGGGCTGGGAGGAGGTAAGACCAATTTTTCTCTCTTGATGCCAGAGAATTACATGACAGCATGAGATGTCTCTAAACTTGAATTAGGGTTTTGTTTTGCTTTTAACTTGAATCTGAGAATAAACCTAATTTAATGTTTTGGGCAGAAGGCTAGGTGGCACACCCATGGGATTTTAGCTGAGGAAGTTAAAAGGCCTGTATTCCCTATAACTTCTATAAGAGGGTCTGAAACCTGTCCTGCTTTTAGCACAGATCTTAGAGCTGGTGGATCACCTAATGTTCCATCCATTCCCTAACTCTCCTAATTGTTTTTTTTGAGACAGAGTTTCACTTTGTGCCCAGGCTAGAGTGAGTGCCATGGCATCAGCCTAGCTCACAGCAACCTCAAACTCCTGGGCTCAAGCCATGCCACTGCCCCAGCCTCCCGAGTAGCTGGGACTACAGGCATGCGCCACCATGCCCGGCCAATTTTTTGTATATATATTTTTAGTTGGCCAATTAATTTCTTTCTATTTTTAGTAGGGGGGGGTCTTGCTCAGGCTGGTTTGGAACTCCTGACCTTGAGCGATCTGCCTGCTTCGGCCTCCCACAGTGCTAGGATTACAGGCGTGAGCCACCACGCCAGGCCAATTCTCCTAACTTTTAAATCTAGTCATCTTCTCTTCTTATCTCCTTAGATTTAGGAGCAAATTTATTTTCTGGCCTATCTGATAATAATTTGGTTGATATTTGAGCTTTTATTGTGCAGTAATTCTGGAAGATAGCCCAGTATAGTTTTGTGTAGGGGAAAGAGCATTGGGCTTTGTAAAACCTTTAGATCTGGGTTCATATTCTGGCCCTACCATTTTATTCTCTTTATGATCTTGAGCAAGCTTTTTTCTCACCTATTCTATCTTTAAAATGTTGATGGAGTTTTGGATTGTCTCCAGTTTTTGGCTATTACAAATAAAGCAGCTATAAACACTTATGTACAAATCTTTGTCTGGATATATACGTTCTTTCTCTTGGATATGTACCTGGGAGTGGGATGGCTATTTAACTTAAATTGTCAAAGTGTTTTCCAAAGTGGCTATGCCATTTTACCTTCCTACCGAAAGTATGTGAGAATTCCAGGTCCTCCACATCCTTGCCAATACTTAGTGTGGGCAGTCTTAATTTTAGCCATTCTGTTAAGTGTGTAGTGGTATTTCTTTGTGATTTGAATTTGCATTTCATAATGACTAATAATGTTCATCTTTTCATGTGCTTATTTGCAATCTATATGTCTTCTTTGGTGAAGTGCCTGTTCACATCTTTTGCCCTTTTTTCATTGGATTATTTTCCTATTAACTTATGTGTATATATGCTTTTTAAAGAGACAAAATCTCACTGTGTTGCCCAGGCTGGAATGCAGTGGCTGTTCACAGGCACAATCACAGAACACTATAGCCTTGAACTCCTGAGATCCTTCTGTATTCGAGATACAAGACCTTTCTCAGATGTGTGATTTGCAAGCATTATTTTCTAGTCTGTGGCTTGATTTTTTCCTTGTCTTAACAGTATATTTAGAAGAGCAGAAGTTTTGAATTTTGATGTTTAATTTATCATTTTTTCACAAGTGCTCTTTATCAGGCTAAGTTTCCTAAGTTTGTAGAGAGCGCTTTTTGGAAATTAGGAATGGGTGTTAGATTTTGTCAGACTCTTTTTTTTTTTTTGCATCTGTTGAAAGGATTATATATATTTTTTCCTTTAATTTTTCAATATGATGAATTACATTATTTTTAGTACATACCATTAAATTTTTTATGGGAAACTTCAGACATACACAAAAGCAGATGAACCATAATGTGCTCACCACTCAGCTTCAACTTTCATTTTTCCCTTGATAATATGTGAACTCTTGTGGGGAGGGAGGAGGCAGCCAAAGTGTTTACCTGAAGTGGTTCTTGAATTTATATTCAAAGCCAGATTTGATAATAGAACATTTTTATATTTAAATCTATCAAGAGTGTGGTAGAAATAACACATTTGTTCAAGACTTCATTTATTGGGGGTTGGTGGCAATTGGGCCTGGGTTAGTTCAGATTTTATATTTGGACTACCTGTGAAAAAAAAGTATTGCAAACCAAAGTAATTCAGGTTAAACAGACTGTAAAGAAAGTGTTTACTCACTGAAGGGAACAAACAACACATCTGTAACATTTTGGGAGATCCACACCCTGCAAGGGTGTTAATATACGCTATGTACTTAGAAAGCATGATGTTGGTGACTAATATGAAAGTAGATAAACATACCACTGCCCTTTCCATTTACATGAAATTTTAGCAAATTATTCTTGCTGAAATTCAGTTGTAAGATTGAACATGCTAAAGGGCAATTTTGCACTTAAAGGTATCTAAGGATTTAGTAAACTTAGTATTTATATTAATATTTGAAGGAAGGAATTCTAATAAACATACTGTTGCATAATATAAATTGAAGCTTGCCGTACCTGTTGCTTGGGGCTATATTTATAAAGACTAAGTTGTGTGGTCCTTCAATTTTATTATTTTATCTATTTCCATTAATTTTCCTCCTCCAAGTAATGACTTTTATTGGGTCTCTGGTACATCACTAGACCAGAGATTGAAAAGTTTCTGTAAAGGGCCAGACATTAATTACTTCAGTTTTTATGGACTACTGAGATCTGCCATCGTAAGGGGAAAGGAGATATAGACAGTACATAAATGAATGAACATAGTTGTCTTTCAATAAAACTTTATTTACAAAAACAGAAGGTAGAACAGTTTGGCCTGCTTGCCATAGTTCCCTGACCCCTTCTGTATACTGTAACATTCAAGGTCTGTAACATTTTTATTCTTTACCCATAGCAGAGCGCCCACCACACATTAGACCTTTGACACATATTCACTGAGCTGAATCTTGATGTTTCTAACCAAGCTAAATAAGGCCATAACCTAATTTGGAGTCAGATAATGAAATTATTTTTTAATTAAACTTATTATTTTGAAAACTTTCAGACCTACACAATAGTTGCCACAGGTATTATAGTGAATTCCCAAAACTCTTCACCTGTATTCAACCATTGTTAACATTTTGCCAGTTTGCTTTGTATTTCTCTATGCAGTTACACACACAGAGACACACACACAGTGTAATGTATACATTATTAATCTTTTTTGTTGTACCTTTTGAGAATAGCTTGTAACGATTGTGACTTTTAACCTGTATCTCCTGAAAACAAGGGCATTCTCTTGCCTGATCATAGTATAAAATTCAGAAAATTTAACACTGATATAACTGTATTATGTAATATGAAATCTCATCAATAGTATCCTTTACAGCAACTGTGTTTTGCTGACCCGGGCTCATGCATTGCGTTTACTTGTCATGTCTCTTTAGTGTGGAAGAGTTTCTCAGCCTTTACCTTTTATGATATTGACATTTTTGAAGAGTGTATTTGCTTTTCTCCATTCTCTCATGATTTGATTCAGGTTCTGCTTTCCCTTCCCCCACAGGACTGCTGCAGAAGTGATAGTGTAGTTTCCTCAGAGCTTCACATCTGGGAGGCACCTGGTGGCGATCTCTCCATTACTGTTAGTGTTGGGTGATGTCTGTCAGATTGCTCCACTATAAAGATTCTGTTTTTCCTTTTGTAATTAGTGAGGGAAATAATTTGACAATAGAGAAATATCTCATTCCCAAACAAATATTTACCCATTAGTATCAGAATGCATTGATGATTCTTGCCTGAATCAGTTATTAGATTTGCTAGCTGACATTCTCCTTTACAGAAGAGCTTGTTCTTTCTTACTATTCATTTGTTGATTTATTGTTAAAATATCATTTTAAAGCCCTAAATCTTAAGGTAACTCTTATAAAATGATTTAAATCTTCTGTGGTTTGTCTCATTTATCTTTATTTATTTGTTATTTTTGTTTGTTTTTTGTACTCTTTGTCTCATTAACTTTACTTTTTTTTAATTTATTTTTTATTTCGGCATATTATCTCATTAACTTTAATTTTCTAAAATGAAAAGACTGGGGAAACAAAAGAAAAATTGGCAGATTTATTGTGGCTGAAGCAGTGTCAAGGGAAAAATTGAAAGAGAAGTCAGACTGTCAGGTTTTTTCTGTTGTATATAGGATTGTTAGAGGTTATGTAAGGAATATATGGGTGTTTTGATCATTTGGTGAAAGTTAGGTTGTACAAATTAATCACTTCTCTTCGGTGAAGTATTTCTCAAAGGCATTAATATGCTAATGTACTTGTGAATATCTTAGAGGTTAGAGTACATTATAGAAACCCTTGACTCTTCAAGTATCCCTGTGGATTACCTTTTCATTAACAAATAGTAATGAATGTGCCTCCTTCTTGCAAAGCATTAGACTCTCTTAAGTAGTAAAAAAAATTAGAAGACTATCTTTAGGGAATTTATGTGTGTTGGGGAGGGGTGAGGGTAGGTAGAAGAATATGAAAAAAAAAAAAAATACCAAGCACTGCAATTCCTAGTGAAATAAAACCAAGAGCGACCAAGACTGCAGAGAATTCAAAGGAGGAAGAACTCTTAATTAGTAAGAATGGGAATTGCTCTCTGGATAGTATTTGTAGTAGGTAAATTTAAACTGAGATGAGGCTAGAGAGGACAGAAATGGGACAGATGAAACCACAGGAAAGTGGGGTGTGTTGCAGAAAATTGACTCCACCGTGGACTGTGCGCAGGAAACTCAATTGGGGCCAGATCAGGGATTCCCTTGAACTTTCTTATGAGCATGAGAAGTTGTACCTTAATTCAGACTGCCTGGGAGGTTTTTCAGGAAGTGGAGTGGTGTGGGGTGGGAGAGAAGGCAGGGAGTATATGAACAGTAGTACTTTAAGAAGATTAAAATGGTGCTGATGTGTAGACTAGATTAGAATGAGGGGAGACTGGGAGATGGATTGAGGCATTATAATAGTCTACGACAGTAGTCTTCAAACTTTATCACTGCATACCTACTAAAATAATTTTGAAAACTCTATCACTCATTTTAAAATT